CTAACGCCAGTTCTAGTTCTAATCACCAATTAGTCAGATATTCCAGATTAATGAAAACTATAACATATCTCAATGTATTTCTAAAAAATTTTTTTTTGTTTGTTTTGCGGCAAGAAGGAGTAGAATGCCTACGCACTGACCACAATCCGGCGCCCCGGAAGGTGAGTGACCGACTCGCACGGATAAACCAGTCCCCCTCATTCCTAGAGACCTTGTCCTACCCAGGGACTACGTTAGTATTACTTCGAGGTAAGATCCCTATTAAGCATTTAAGATTTTCAACGGTGTGAACATTAGTTCAGAATATTAGTTTTAGAATTAATATTCTAAAACATTAATTCACAGAGAAATTATTGATTTAAATAATGGCAAAAGACCAAAACTACCAACATCATACTGAGAGATATCTGGGAAAGCATTGACCAACCATAACTCAAGGAAACACTGAAGTCTGCAAGATTGCTTTTAATAAAACATAGGAAATTTAATGCAATTGAATTTGATTAATATTATTGATTACAAAAAGAGTAAGTAATATGACAATTCGCAATATATTTTCTTGGAGATCACTATTGGCAAAGCGTTTCTTCCATTTTTTTACAATAATGATCAACTAATAGCTTGAAAATATTGATGGCATAACTATCAAATTTCTGTACTGCAGATTTCGATCAGTTTACATCATGTGTCGCATCTATACTACTTCTAAAAGAAACAAAAAATACTTTTTGTTAAACAGCACAATCAACTACTATCTATGCACTTTTTGCATCTGAGCCACTTAGATGGACATCCAAATGGTACACCAATCAGTAAAGCCCTTGACAGCATAGTCAGGCCGGTACTATAATTATATAATATAGTTCGAAACCAAAAAAAAAAAAATCTGACAAGACTTTGGATATTAGTCGCGGGCAATATAGTAAGGCAAGTAAAAATTATTAGACCGCTATTCAAACTAAATGTCTTCGAAGTGCCGCCTAGAATTAATCAAACGTTCATATAATCGTTTACCTATTCTCAAACAAAGTAGCAGTATACCTACAAGCTATTATTCTTATAACATAAGACGCTAATTCGAAAAAGTCTTTGTATCAGATTTTATAAACTCTACATACTAAATAGAATCCGTAAACCAGGACGCCTGTGGGCGGAAATCATATTTTAATGAACTCGAAGGGGTTTGTTTAGGTTTATATTATAAAAAGAAATCAAATAATCAAATATGTTCAGAATTTTAAAATTTTATGATCCTCTTCAGTTTATGGTCCACATCAAATCGCTAATATTTACTTAAACTAATATTAATTAATAATTAGTTCTTAATACTACCAATTTTAGCGATAAGATTTTCAACTTTCATCGAGGTTAGGTCGTTTATTTGAAGATGATCTACAAAGTAGAACGACATATCTGTATTATAAATATTTTTTTAATATACTATATAATAAAAATTTTAATATAAATTGATAAATGAAGTTTTTCAACAAATTTTAATTAATCTTATAAAAATTTAATATAAATTGATATATGTGGTTTTTTTATCAGTTTTAATTAATCTTATAAAAATAAATTAGATAATATTAAAATAATAGTTTTTTTATTTTTTCTACGTTTCTGTATATAGAAATGTTATATATAATAATTGTCTAAACATAAATAAAATTTAAAAAAAGGATATACACATTGAATCTCCTTGCTTATATTGTTTGTAACTAATAAACAAAAAAAATTAATTAATTAATAAATATGTAAATTTATGAGTAAAAAGATTTGGATTATTACTAGACTTACGTCGCCTATTTAACACATAAAATTTTAAAAATGTTTTTTTAAATAAAACATTGAACTTGTTAATTTGTGTTAAAAATTTATTTATATATTAATTTTTTATAAAAATGTATGTTAAATTAACGACCTAAGCCCATTAATACTTCAATACTTATTGAAAATAGGTCGTAATAACAATTTATTAAAATGTATGACTGAAAAAATAATATACTAATTAATCAGTTGACAGCAAATGGTAATTCTTCTCACTTATAGAATTGGAAAAACAAAAAAGGTGTACTGGGACAATCAACTGAGGCTTTCATGATCAAAATCGCTCATAGAACTTTCAACCTAAACTGATTTATGAATTGTATAAAACAAAGAAAAACCAACTTTATTATCATTATTCTGACAAGGCATTATCATATTAACCAAACTGGAAACTTACTCTTGTTAAACTCATAGATTTTTAGAGGAAAAGTATGTGACACCTCAAAGCTGGAGCTGAGAGCCGACTTAGCACTGATCAGATTAAGAAATATAAGTCGGTAAAGTTAGTTCAATACTAAAATTTATCCAGGAAATCAAGCTTGGAAAAACACTCTAAATCTCTGAAGAAGACACAATAGATATTATGCTCGCAGTGCTCCAACTTGGTAATAATAGTAAGTTGACCTGTATATAAATCATCATTTTTCACATATAGTATTCCACGCTAGTCAGCTGTATCTTTTATCAACTTATCCTTTAATCGAAGTTGCTAACTTCTTCTACTACGCTCTCCAACAGTGGGCACCAAATCAAAAATCTTTCTAGAATGAACATTTTATTCATTCTGAAGATATCTGCAAACAAGCCTTGTCGATGAATTTTTTTTTTTTCAACTTTGTGAATATTTCACTATAGCTCATATAAATCATCATTCCTTATTTATGGTATATCTAAGGAGTTACTTGAAATATAGTATTGGAAATTGGTTAACAGCCAATCTCAATATGGAGCCAATTCAATATACAGTCAAACTTCCATAACTCGAAGTCCAATTTTGCAAAGTAAAGGTTTGACTTACATATAGAGACTTCGAGTTAGAGAATTTTGTTATTTTCTATTTAAATAATATTACGATGGAAGCTACAATTTTAAACTTAAGATTACCGGCAATTTGGATATATTTGCAAATGTAGTTGGTTTTAAAATATGTATTTTTAAATTTTGTTCCAAGTCAAGATATCTTTCACCTCGATTACTAGTTTTTCTCTATAACTAATATTTAATAAGGCATGACAACTAAAAGCTCTACACAATCGAAAAAATAATTTAAAAGTGGTTGTATTAATTAAGTTGAAAAAAATAACAACATAATCCTTATAATAGAAAACACGTCTTTGAAATGTTCTCAGAAAACAGAAATTTCAAATTGAATCCCTAGTCTTAACGAAATTAAAATACTATTTTAGCAAAATGTCACTATCATAATATACTTTACTACAGTTCTTGAATAATTCATCATCATATTTCAATGGAACGCTAATCACAGTTGTTGTTGTTGTTGTTGTTGTTGTAACCCGCCGGGACCTGAAAGCAGATAACATGTAAGATTATGTCAACAAACACATACCAGCTTGTGAAGTCCCTTATCACCTTGGTGTCTTATTACAGTAGATCGCCCAAATGATCACAGACAATATTTTAATAAAAGAGCTTTAGACACTAACTCGAGTTTCATGAAATTATGGAGAGAAGACTAATTTAAAAGCTCATTTCTTTACTCTATGATACCTAAAGTGATCATTTCTGGAATGAATTGACTCGGAAAACATAAAATTGACATTATAAGATCTTGCAGTTCCAAACATGACTGTATGTGTTCTAGAATCAATCGTCAATATTGACTATTAAGTAAGATAATAAAGATTAATAAAGTAGACTCTTCTCAGGCGAGCTTTAATCTGATTCCATAACGCGATTTGATGATAGTACAGTTCAGTATAAACAAAATTATTTAAATATACCATAAAGTGAAAACCTAGCAGTTGATTCTTTGTTTGATTTTATTATCTCTGATTGTTATTCTAGATGTAATAAAAAAAAAGGGTTTGGCCCAAAACGTTTTTATATACCATACATTCCTTAATAATCAATTTAAATGCAAAACGTCCTTCTTTTTCTGGTTGGTCAATTTTTGCAAAATATTTTACTGTAGCAGGTCTCAGAAAATGACGTATTAAGAAAAGGTTCCTGATATATTATTTATATATATTATTTATATATATTATTTATATATATTATTTATATATATTATTTATATATGTTATTTATATATATTATTTATATATATTATTTATATATATTATTTATATATATTATTTATATATATTATTTATATATATTATTTATATATATTATTTATATATATTATTTATATAATATTATTTCTCAGATATTGAAAAATTGATATGTTTACAAAGACTTAACGACTCTCATTAACACATGCATGAATTTTATATAATTGATAACATTTATCACGTTAAATGCGATAGTAATGAATCTATAAGATACATAGAAATGACCAATTATAAACAAATATTAAGAAACCTATATATATCAGTGCCACTTGTCATCAACGCTCATCTCTCTCAACTGAACTACAACATTATCAAATCCAGCTTTAAGTTTTTTTCTACTCAATTTAATTAAGTACTTAAATTCAGGCAAGCGTGTCAAAACCCAGATATAAAAGTTCAAAATCTACTAACTCTCATTCTTTACTATCTATTTCTGAAGCCCATAAGTGCATTATGTACAAATTATAGAAATTTCTATTAAGTTACTACATAATGCACTCTAATTTTCCTTATGTAAATTTAAGCAAAATAATTATGTTAACAATTTTATTTTGTTTATAACAAAAGTTTTTAGTTGCGGCATACAAAATTATTACACTAATTTCGATAGATTTATTACATTTTTACATATTTTTAAATAATTTTTAATGGTTTTCAAATTGCGTTCAGTTGACAACTGAAGATTAGTAGATACGTGACTCAAAGTAACATAAATTGAGTCTACGTTGCCTAACTCCATTAAATATTGCAATTTTAATTAAAAATATATTTTTAATATTAAATTCTAATATATATGTTTATGTAGGTTATAGCGGTGATTTGTAGTGTTACGCTATTTATATTGCCGGCCACGACTTAACTAAACTAATGAAAAGAAATTGATTAAAGGGAACCCTTTATTCTGGAAACTGAATATTTAATAAAAATCGTAATTAAATGCTAAAGGTCAGTAGCTTATTATCTCAGCTCTTTACTGTACCATACTTGATGGCAAGTTGAGTAGTGTGCTTTGACCACTAGGTAAATAAGCAACGCCACGCGATCTTGATAATTGATAAGCTATATCTTCAGCCGCTTCAATACGACGCAACTCAACGAGACCATCACCAGCAGCTCCAAATGCCTTAGCTAACAAATCTGCAGCTGCTGCATCACCCTCTGCGGATATAATGGAAGCCAATTTCTGTTGTTCAGCCTTCTCGACGACGAAGCGTGCTTTTTCAGCTTCTTGCTGTGCTACTTGCTTCATTTCTACAGCTTGTGTAAATTCGCGACCGAATGTTAAATGTGTAATGGAGATATCATCCAAAATGAAACCAAACTGCTTTGCACGCTCTGTCAAATCATCTGAAACGCGTTGAGACACCATCTGCAATAATTATATTATACATTAAAATTATAACAAGTTATAAAATAAGTGATTTGAAGAAATATATTTAAATATATTTTTATTAGAGTTATATAAAAAGTTACGATATATAAGTCAATACTACTTGCAACCAGTCAGTCTTCATTTATCAGTTGATTTATCCTAAAATTCGAATTTTTTCATACGGTAATTTATTTTCCAATTGGGAGTCTTTCATTTCAAACGTTTTGATATTTACAAATTATTATGAAGTGCTTTTTCTAAATATAAAGTGACTATTAAAAAATTCTTTTGTCGCCCCAAGCAAAACAACTATATAAACATATTTTCAACAGTCGGGTCTACGTTTCAGAGCCACTGTTTAAGTTTGTCGACCGAATGTTGTTCCCACTCCATTAAAGTGGCCAAGTTTCTCCGTCTTGATCCTGGTTAATTTTAATTTAAGTTCCATACATGCCTATTTAACTTTTATTCCCTAAAATTTCCCACACTCTTACTCAACCATTAGCCTCCTACATTCTACCCCATGTATTCATCGTCTAATTCTTTTATATTATCTACTTTTCAGATTCCCACTAACTCAACAACAATCACCTGCCTCTCGCCACAGCCAAAAGAAACTATACAAACAGATCATAGCGGCTACAACAATAACCATATAAAAATTACTTCTATTACCATTCCATATAGTTCAAAGTGTACTCTAACTGCAGCTCTAACCCACATGACAGCGCTCATCTGTTTTTAATATTATTTCTAACTTACTGCTACATCCTACTATGGCTTTATATCTTAACAATATGAATTAAATTAGTCTGTTATATCTATATATGCATTAAATATAAATAACTACATTCAATAAGTGCGTTTAATTAAAACGATTTAAAGGTAATATTGTACAGGGATACCAAAAAAAAAATTCCACAGAAATTTCGATACTACAAACTATACACTATACACATTAAAATTTGTTTAAAGTTTAACAAGGAAAACTTAATACTTATTTTAAATAATAAAATATACTAAAATTATAAATATAGTAATAATAATTGATATAATAAAAATTATTAATATAAGAATTAGAATTCATATAATAATAATAAACAATAATAAAATATACTATTATATTAAATATAGTAAAAATAATTAACATAATAAAAATGATTAATATAAAAATTATAATTAATATAATAAGTAATAATAAAATATACTAACATAAAAAATATAGTAACAATAATATAATAAAAATAATTAATATTAGAAATATAATTAATATAATAATAAAATATACTATAATAATAAATATAGCAATAATAATTATTATAATAAATATAATACAAGAATTATAATTATTATAATAACAATAAATTTATTAGCAGTAAAAACTACTGAACTATTGACTTTACCTCACGTTGTGTAATTAATTCACCAGCATCGAATTGTGCAACAACAGCTTTAAGAACTTCAGGCGCAATTGAAGGCAAAACTCTCTCATCATAATCCTGTCCAAGTATCGTATATATCTTTGGCAATTGATCAGGAATGGGACGATAGAGAATACGTAATGTAATGTTTACATTTTGCAAATCCTTGCTGCCGGTAATAACGGGTACATTACGTGGCTGTGATCGAATATCATAAATAACGGGACGTTGTACCCATGGTATGAAGAAATGTGTACCTTCGCCAACTACATTTTGTTTAACACCAGTAAAACGATCGAAAATTACTGCACGATGGCCACCATCAACATTATATAATGCTGAATTTACAACGCCACCCAATACTGCTACACCTAGACCAAGCTGACCAATTCGATTAAAAAATTGCGCTGCCATTGTAATTAACTGTAAGAGAGTTCAAAAATTAATATGTGTGTATATTTTTATATTCACTGCATCAACATTGTATTCGCTTCAAATCTTTATCACTTTAAGGTTAGATACTCAATTTAGCCGCAAAATGTAACATACGGTTTTAAAGTTCATTGCAAAAAAGAAAACAATTTAAATAAAATTTCAAAATAAACATTAAATATAAAATATAAAATTAATAACTTACTGTTTAATTAAAACAAAGTTTTACTAGAATAACTTAAGAAATTTCACACCGCACATGCGAAATCAAAAACCGACAGATGACTTTTAACGATAACAAAGTGACTGAAATATTATCGATACATTTTTTGACAGCGCTTTAAATATTTTAATATGTCAGAACACTACTATTTGCATGAGTTAACAAAATGTGTATTTCGCTTGCCTCCTATTTTCGATATGTCATATAAGTTTTCTTGTCTTATAAATTGCTTTCAAATCTGTTTTATATTAGGCCTTTTCATTTGTAAACATATCACAAAAGAACAACTGCCTATTTTAAAAATAACATGTGAAACAACAACACTTTTGACTCATTTAGTCAAACCTTTTTGAAATCGCTTGACTAATAAACAGCTCAAATCGCATGGTTGCCAAGATTAAAATTCGGCTATTGTGAATGCTTTTTGGAAGTACATACGAAATTTCTAAGGTAATTGTCAACGAATGATTTCATGTCGTCATTGTTCGTAACAAGTACGTTACTTTTTCTATTTATTATTTTACTGTTAAAAGACCTAAAAATTCTTATTTTATTCACAATTATGCAAAAAAAATATCCTTACTAATAATTGCATATAAAAACTTAACAAAATTTACGGTTCTTCCAGAGTTGCCATCAATTGTAGTGGTTGTATTATTTATTCTCTTACGACATGCTTACAAAAGAAAAGGCCTATTGCATAGTAACATTGCAAGTACAGCACTTTCAGCTTAAAATTAACTATTTAAAATGAATCGAATTATATTTACTTGTAAAAACATTTTTATTTTTCGGATAAGGCCTGGTACTAACATTCATATCGCACAAAAAATCGACATAAATACCTACATAAAAAACTGTCCTATAAAATTTTGGCATTGTAGACAATGAATGTTAGTACCATGCCTTATAAAAAAATTATATTTTGTATATGACAATAATTTTTGCAAGTATCAAATTAACTTATTCGTGTTATAGTACATTCACACTGTCTCATTCGCGTTCATATTATAATAAGCTCATTTAAACAGTTGATAGAACTTTTATAAACTTCACTTTATAATAGGTGTATTCTCTTGCAAACACAAAACTCGCAAAAATAAACCCATATTCTAGAAACTGCTCAACGAATAAGCCACTAGCATTACAATGGTACCATATCTTAAAATTGATCTATTGTGAATGATTTTTGAATGAAAATGGAAAATTCTAATCAGATGACAGAGGAGTTTGTTTAATATATTATTTATAACTGTTACGGGTGTTAATGAGGAAATTTAAATATTTTGAAAAAATGATTTGTTTAATAGAATTTGTGAAGATGATTGACAGGTTAATAATTGTGAAGAAGTTACTTGTTAATTATTTATTAAAAAATTTATAATGTCTGCATTAGGTTCATTTAAAAATATAATAAATGAATAAACACAAAACACAATATTTATAATAAAAGAAAAAACTTATAAGATAATTGCAAGAAAAATAAAACACTGTTGAATATTGCTCATTTTGGATCAACAAGTGTTGTCAGAAGTTATCAAATTATATTAATGAATTTTTTGACGACCTCGTATTGTCTTTGGAAGAGCTAGAGCTATAAAAAATTTTAAATATTTAGTCAATGCGCCGCTCTCTCTGCATTTTATTGAATACTTACTTCCTCAGTGCCTTTGTTTACAACTCAGCTGTTTGTTCACATTTTACCACGGTTGCCACTTATGGTACTTTAGTACCAAAATTGGTACTTTTTTTTTCGTTTGGTACTCATGTTCAAAATATGGTACATTTTTGACGACCCAACTTTATTGTGGATATATCCAATTAATTTTTTTTATAAATGCAACTTTGCATTATTTTATATTTTGTTCATTTATAACACTATGAAAAACACAGAACGAAAAAACAAAATGGTCCAAAAAAATTTTGGACCTTTTTTTACAGAATGGTACCTTTTCAAACCAATTTTGGTACAGAAAAAAATTTTCAAGTGGCAACCGTGCATTTTACATAAAAAACATATGACGTATGTTTCAAATTTTGGGCATTTCCCTTGTGGGAAACTTATTTTTAAAGGTTGCATTCGACATTTTTCGCCTTAAGAGCAGAATGAGCTGATAATGAGCTCATTTATATGAAAGAAAAACGAAATAGCATAAAATGAGAAATAGCAAAAATGAGACAGTGTGAAATATGCTATAATTAAATTTTACATTAATGTTGACGTATACCATATTTCCATTGGTCTCACTTAAGCAGTTTTACTCATTACAATAGCTAATGAGAGTAATTTACCACACAAAGTGCTTTCATATAAATGAGATCATTATAAATAAATCAACGGATTTAAGGCGACAAATGTCGAATGCAGCCCTTAAAAATAACTTTTCTCTTGTAGGAAAGTAGGAACAAAATTTAAAATTATTTCATTAACACAAGTAGCTTTAGCTGCAGTGGAAACATGCTATGTGGGAAAGGATTCTAACATGTTAATACATGTTGCAAGCAGCAGGCAATGCATCAGCATTTTAAAGTTCATTATAAAAATTCAAAAATTATAGATTGATATCCACCATTTGACTTAGCGTAACATTTACTGGTGCATACTGTGCCTGAGGCCACTGCAATCGTAGGAACTGCTGCTCTAGTGAACGCACTTCCTCCGATCCTTTGGAAGATGTAAGTCTACTAACAGGTCGTTTAAAGTGTTTAATCACAACAACCTTCCCTGCGATCGCCTACCTGACAGCCTAGAGCTAGCATATTGGTCTTCCTCTTTGCTTTGCTCTTTTTTTTCGTGCAATTATCTTCGCATCCTCTGCCAAATCAGGGAGATTATTGTCCGACGTTTTTGTTGTACCAGATTTAGATTCCTTTATGACGGCCAAAACAGTCATGATAACGGTTGACACTTTGGGGCGTCCTCATCATTACTACAGTACTGACAGTCTTACTCTGCTATTGCTTCAGACCCTTGTTTTGGCTTTTAAATAAATCATCTTCTATAACTCATAATGCAGGAACAAATTGCGTACGGTTTAACTGGAACATCTAAAAGCATCGTCATTTACATTAAAGAAGAAGTGTCCGCGATATTCTCAAACATAATCCTTGAATTTTACAATTAAAGGTTGTTAAACATTATACCTATTAAACATTTCAATCCACATTTGATTACCATAATGAAATCCAAAAAATTGATTGTTTATATAAATAATTTCTGGCATTCCTTTCTAAATTGTTTTAGTTTGGACAGAATGATCATTAAAATTCAATTCCTGAAACCTGAAATCTAGCGCTTTATAATATTGTAAATGCATCTTTAAAAGTCTGAGCTTTGGATGGCTGGTTAATACTATTTATAGATAATATTTTGAGAAGTTGACAACATACTCCCATTGGGTTCGATATGTCACAAAAATGTTTATATACGTTTTGAAATAAAAATAATTGGGTGTTTGAGCAACTTACGACTAGCAAACACTATAGCAAAGACCCCACAAATCACATCATATCTAGTATTTGTTTTGTTGAATTCAAACGATCGAACTTTTAACATCAACAATAAAAAGACAATTAGAAAACTGCAATGTTATACTCATGCCTCTTTAAATTTAAAATAAATAATAGAAGCTTAAAATTCTAGAAGTCTAGACCTGTATATGACAAAAATCGTACAGAAATTCAATTTTACTGTCGAGTACATATAAATATTACCTCCTATCTCTCTACATTGCAGACTTATAGCATCGCTTAGGTTAATATGGGCGGGCTATTGGCCCATTGTGTTGCCGTAAAAGGGAAAGTTACTCTGAGGTTGAAACCACTTTGCACCTTTTGCAAAACTTAAAATGGTATAGTAAAATATAGTTGGTCACGATCCTCAAAAAAAGGACTTTGATTGTCATCTTCACAACTGCGGGAGATTTCATTGACAGGAAGATTCAATCTTTTAGCATGGTGTCCTAATCTGCAATAACCTGTTAGTAACTCTACCTAAACTGCTAGGTCTTCTTCGGGGATTGCCACCTTGACGTAGTGAGGAGGCTCAGTAGTTACGAAGAATCTTCGAGTGATGCCGGCGGTACCTTGCTACTGATAGGGCCTCCCTTGCTGGTAAGGTTGAATGAGGAGTAATGAAGTTAAGCGCAGTCGACAACGTAGCGTTGGTACTCATAGTGAACGGCTGCAAAAGGCGTCTGTTGTCCAGGTTAGGTGCGGTCTATTTAAAAGTAACTTGTCACTACGTGTAAAGCTTACAGGACTGACATTGCACTTGTAACCTATCGTCAGGGCTTTGCTCCCTTTTACTTTTTTCTGTATATAAAACATGAGTCAAAACACGATGGTATTACATTCTCCAAGTGGCGAATCCACCTGCTTCGGCAGCACGCACAACGGATTTGGAGGTGCGAAACATAAGTAGGTGACGTTTAAACAGAATCAATTTGTTAGGTACAACTGTAACTACTATGGATCCCTGCGGAGAGGGGACAAGAATACTCCCACGGTTAGAATTGCCTGTCGTAGAGGCGACTAAAATCCCCCAGTGCCACTCTGGCACTTATGTAAGAAGTGCAAATGGTAGTGAGTTGAGTCAGCAAATAGCGACATTTGGCCAGAGATGATCCGATCTGGTACTACGGGGGTCAGTGGCATAATTAGTTAAAACAACTATAACAAATGTAGGACATCGAAATAGTCATAGTATAAAGACCTTAGAATAAAGATTTTAGAATAATTGTTTATACGATTTTTTTATAACATATAAGTTAATAATTAATTTAAAAAAAACAATTAGCTTGCGTGTGCACAAGCTTCGATAATCACGTTGAGAGTTACTAAGGTCAAACGGGACTTTTCCAGACAAACAAGTTGATGTCCCATTTGGTAGCAATCAGACGAACGAATAATATCGCATGATTATGCTGTCAATGAAACTAAGCGCAGGGCCGGATTTAAGACGCGGGTGTTAACTTTTATATTTTCTCAATAACGAATTAGTTCAATTACTTTATATATATATTTATATCCTATAAATAATTAAGATATTACCAAAAAAAAACTTTGCTTTACAATAGAAGTCTACAAGTCACTATCTTATAAGTAAACCGCATAACAATTTTTTGGAGAAATGAAGGAAGAACAGTCCGTATTACTTACTTATATAGCCACAACAACCTGTTATCGGATATCGGTGTGACGCTTGGGAATGCGCTGTACTTTCAAATTTCTGCACCTGTACTTCTAAATAACCCCGATATATTTCAGCAATAAATATATGCAGAAATGTATTAAAGTTAAGGATTAAATAATATGTCAATTAGTATTTTTTTGCACTGAGTATATGTGAATAAAATATTTACCTATAGCCAAAGCTATTTGATCTAAAATATATAACATAATCTTTTAATATGTCTATAATTTCTCTATGAATATTACGTATTTTGTACGAAAAATGACACTTTTTGCTGCAAATTTGTCAAGTAATCGTAAAGCATATACATATATCAAATTTATTATCATGGATTGTTAGTTTTATTAAATTGAATTTTCTGCTTACATTTTACTTTAAATATGTTTATATAGCATATAAACTGTAGAAAGGTCCATTAACTAACCATTCACTTAAACGTAATCATCTTTTTCAACTCTTATCGCAAAACATTTATAGAAATCTGTATAATATATCAAAATGTTGTACAAAATTAATCCGTCATATGTGCACGTCCAACGACTTTAGGCATCTTTTTGTTCGTAGAGTCTTCAATTTCTCTTTCCTTATAGTAATGTGGCGCAACTTCCAATAACCATTTGCTTTCAATTTCCGTAACTTGGCGCATGAATTCTTTTGAAGTAAATACTAATTCATGATAAAGCACCCAACGTGGTAGCTCATCGAATAATGCGGAGTTCGGATGTATCATTACAGTTTGATTATGTTTGATTGTTTTGTAGTTACCGCCTTTAGATAATTTGGCAACGTGATAGAAGTATCCAGCGGTGATTGCTTTCCGAATGTTGGTGCTTTCTGTAAGACTTGATACCATATCGATTTCAACACGCAACATTAAACCAATCAGTTGTTCACGGACATCTCTCGCTCTTTTCATAGAACGATATTGTATAAAATTTTCGTAACACCACTGCGTACTGTATTCAGTATCAACCCATTGATTGTAAACCTGTAGCAAGCTCAAATGATCACCGTGAATATGATTAAAGTTCTTACGTGCTGTATCAGCATGTATAATTTTGTCTTTTGGTCTATAGAAAACTGCACTGTTAACTGAGAGCATTGCTGCAATAGTGACCATTTCTTCGGAGCATTTATACCTGCAAATAAATATCAAACGTTAGCATTCGTTAAGTAAAAAAAAGTAAATTTATTTAAACTATTCAAATTAACTTACTTCTCGCTAGCCAGTAGCATTTTGCCCATCATAGGATCAACTGGAAATTCTGCCATTCGACGTCCCAACTTTGTTAGTTCACCATGGTGATTTAACGCACCCAATGCATAAAGCTGTTCTAGAGCAATAACGAGCGTTTCGTGTGGTGGTGGATCTAAAAAGTCGAAATGTAGCAGATCATTAATACCAAGAGCCTTGAGCATAAGCACTGCATTTCCCAAATTAATACGCTGTATTTCTGGAATGGTACTATCCTCCAATTCATGTTTGTACGCCCATGCAGTATATAAGCGAAAACATTTGCCAGGTGCTGTACGACCCGCACGACCTGCCCGCTGACTTGCAGAAGCCTTTGAAATTGGTACTACCATTAAAGACTCCATTCCTGTGCGTGAATTAAAATTATTTTGTTTGGCGAAACCAGGATCAATAACGTATATTATGTTATCTATGGTTAACGAGGTTTCCGCAATATTTGTGGCCAATATTACTTTACGAGCGTTTGGTGGGGTAGGCTCGAATATTTTTGCTTGTAAATCACTAGGCAAATTGGCATAAACAGGAATAATTATGAGTTCAAGAATTTTGGAGCCCAAACGTTTAGTCCGTTCCAAGAGAACTTCTTGACATGTCTCAATTTCGTCCTGTCCAGTAAGAAATACAAGAATATCACCAAGTGGCTGTGTTGCATGAATTTGAAGTACAGATACACAGCAGGCATCAATATAATCAGCCTCTGGAGCTTTTGTGTAAAAAATATCTACCTAAAATATAAATCATAATGGAAAAGTACACAAAATGGATACTATAATTAATATTTACTGGATATCTTCTTCCTGGTATTCGAAAAATTGGCGCGTCATCAAAAAACTTTGAAAATTTCTCTGCATCTAAAGTCGCACTGGAGATAAGAAGTTTGAGTTCTGGCCGAAAACGCGCAATATCCTTTACAAGTCCAAAAAGTATGTCAGTATGCAATGTACGTTCATGAGCCTCATCGATAATCATTACACTGTAAGAAGCAAGATCTGGTTCTGAAAGAAATTCTCTGTGCAATGTGCCATCAGTCATGTACTTAAGTATAGTGCGCTCTAGTAAAATAAACACATAGTTAGTATTTTTTAATTTATATATTAAAACAAAATTAATATTTACCCGACGTGCAATCTTCAAAACGTATTGCATAGCCTACCTCATTGCCTAACTTAACGCCCATTTCTTCAGCGACTCGAGCCGCAACAGACATAGCAGCTACACGTCTCGGTTGCGTACAACCAATCATCTTTTTATTTTTTGTGAAACCCGCTTCAACCAAATATTGAGGTATTTGTGTAGTTTTACCAGAGCCAGTTTCACCTTCAATGATGAGCACCTAGTTGGTTACATTAAATTATTTACCAAATCAATTATCTAAAAATGTTGTCTGGTTTACCTGATGCTCCGTTATCGCTGCTATAAGGTCGTCTTTAAACGGATAGACGGGTAAAGATTTTTTTGTTTCTTCGATAGTTAGACGTTTTTTCTGGCTTTCTGTTAGTTCTGGGTCTGTACTCGTTTTTTCCTTGGTCCCACTCATTGTTATTGCTTGTATAAAATCAATTTGATCTTCCAGCAATAGTTCATATTCCTCCTGTGCTTTTGCATCTTTAGAACCGAATTTAAACCTTGCCGAAGCTAACTGTTCTGCTTCCCATTTCTTTTGTTCAGCGTTAAGTTGTTTTTCTGTTTCATCGACTTCAACATATTCCACTATCATTTAGGAAAATTTAATTATTATTTAAATTGAAAAAACTAGTTTTATAAATTCTCACTCTGTTCACCCTTCTTCAAATTATCTGGCATACGATAACGCTGTATGCGTTCCAGTTCACGTGCTTTCTCATGGTCCTTAGCTATCGACAATAGCTTCTTTTTGTATTTGCGGTCCTCAATTTCATTCTTTGTTAGACTGAAACATTAGGATTATTTATTATAACGATGAATTTATTTAATTAGACATATGTACATACGTAGTTTCTTCAAACAGATATTCATCGTCTATTATATCAGCTTCCAATTCGGCCACCTTATCGTCTTTACGTTTCTCCAAATAGACGCGACGGGACTGTTTCCGCAGCTGCGGCAAAATTTTATCTCGATCTTCATTATCCAATTTAAGACGAATTGCAGCCTCTTCGATAGCTCTACGACTCCCAGTAGATTCTACTATTTTACGCGTTCGATTGTCATCGCGCTGTTTAAGGCGTTCAGCGAACTCATCACGTTCTTTTATATCTCTTATACGAGATTCTTCCTCGCTATCCACTTCCTCCGAACTGGAACTTGACTCTGCTGGACGCCGGTGCTGTCTTGACATTGTTTACAGTTTCACTAAATTACTAAAAACTAATTTAAACATACACAACTACAATAAACAACAAAGTGATTGTCAAAATATAAATTGAAAACACCATATGCTGGCAAATTTATCGATAAGAAAATTGTTACGATTGAAGTGTCAAATATGGGTAACCATACACGTTTGATTTTAAGTAAATCAGTTATATTTGAAATTAACATTCAAACTCGAAGCATATACAAATATATATATATAATATATATATATATAATTCTATAAGTATATCCATCTCATTTAAATTATAAAAATAGTTTAAAATAGTCAAATAATACAACGAATTTAATATCGCAGAGAATATATTATAAAAAAAATTTCTAGAAAATTATTCTAAGTTAGAACTATGAAATACCTACAAATAAGCATAATGCGTTGTAACAGCAATATAATCACAAGTACTCAAATTATCAATTCGACTGCACACTTTTTAAACAAAGCGTACTGTAGTAGGATAACTAAACCAGTTTATATCGTTTCTGTACAATTTCTGTCATTTTTACAAAACGTTTGGAATTGTTTGAATAAGACTATATATCATCCTTCAAACTATACTACGACAGCAACAAACTGACCGGATGTCATAAGGCTGTAACCAATTGCATTACCATAATCCAGCTAACAGCCGCAAACTGCTTCATTTACTAAATAAAAACTATATATTAAAAAATCATAAACTTTTATAACGTACAAGTATTAATAATTAAAATTTTTGTAAAAACTATATTTTTTATATTATTATAATTTATATAATTAATTATAATTTTTGTTATTAATATTACTACAAATATTATATACAATATAATATGAACATATTCAAAAATTAATTAATTTATTTACATAAAATAAAAAATATTTTTAATATTATTATCTAGATAATATATAAACAAAAGTATGTTCAGTGAATGCCAATACTGACATTTTAAGGATTTTCTTTAAATGCCAAATGCAACTTTGCAGAAAAATCGTATAACGCGTTTAACCTGGCATTGCTGTATTTCATTAAATTAATGAACCGTAATGAACCAAAATAGGTAATTAATAAGTTAATAATTTTTTAAAATTTTAATCAACAAAATGCCAATGGCAGCCGCTGAACACAGCATTAAGCTTTTTTGTGTGTGAACAGGCTTCAAAACAAGCATATTTCGAAAAAATATGTTAAAACTTCAAATTCGAAATAAAATTCATATAAATTATTTTAGTATAATATATATATATTATTTTTGAATATATTATGTAGTTATTTGAAACTAAACCTTATGTATAACACTCATAAATTAAATTATAATTACTTTAACTTATATAATACAAAGTTAATGGTCTCTCTAGTTAAAATATCACAGTCAATGTGCAATTGCATATGCAGCTGTACATTAACTTTGCATTAATATTTATAAAGATTAAAATAAAGACTAAGAAAATTATATATAAATATTATGAAATTTGCTTATTGATATAACATAGGTTTATATAATAGATAGCGAACAAATGAATATGATAAATAAATCTGAACATGACTAAATAATGTCAAAAATCTTAATACTATATTAGCCATTACTATTATTCGTATTAGATTTGCGTCTACTGTTAGTACGAATTATCTTTATTTAGGAGAGGTCTGCAAAGATTTAATTTATATGAAAAAAATATCATATATATAAATATAAATAAACGTGTATGTGTACGTAGAAATAGTTAAATCCCTTTAACATTATGTTTTCACTGTGCCACTGCTAAACGTCAATATTGACTTCATAAAAATTGCAGCCAGTGATTGTTATCGATAAATTTCTCAGCTTTACTTTTTTGAAATCTTTTTAGGTTGACTCACGTTGCATTGAAGTTTTTGTTTAACTGTCCTTTTCGTTATAACTTAAAGATTGTACTTATTTGGTTTTGCAGTTTCTGAAAATGCCTGCAAGTGATTTAACAGCACTTTCAATAAGTAAGTTATGTATTTTACTTAGTATCATCTATAGAAACAGCATCAACCACGTTGCAATCAAAATAAGAAATTGTGTATTTTTATTGTTTTTTTTTTTCATTTTAAAGATGAATTGTTTACCTCTGAGAAACATGGTAGCGATGATACTGGGGACGGCACTGAACACAATCCTTTCAAAACCATACTGCAAGCAATGCGTCATGCTGGTAAGGAACCCTTTCCTACCATATATGTAGATAGCAAAGATCCGAATGCAGCGCAACGTTTCGAGCCAGCAGCCAAGTCTCAATTGAAAAAAGTACAGAAAATATTTGTACGTGAAGGTTACAAAAGTGCGGATAAGGAAAAGCGTGAAACTGAAGATGCTGAAAAACGGTTGCAGAATCTTGAGGAAGCACGCAAAATTAAAATTGTAGAAGACGCCAGCTTGGCTAAGGCAACCAAAATTCGTATTTATGAAGGCAAAGACAATCGCAATGTGCGCGTTAAAATAAGTGGTTGGGTGCACAGACTACGCCGACAAGGAAAAGGATTAATTTTTATAACATTGCGCGACGGCACGGGTTTCCTGCAGTGCGTACTTACTGACCGCCTTTGCCAAACGTATGACGCACTTACTTTAACTACGGAGAGTTCTGTTATTCTCTATGGTGTTTTAACAAAAGTACCAGAAGGAAAATCTGTAAAGTTTGCATAAGTTCAATATGACAATATTGTATGACAATATTTTATAAAATTTTACATTTTATTGTTGCAGGCGCCAGGTGACCACGAGTTGAATGTGGATTATTGGGAATTAATTGGTTTAGCACCTGCTGGTGGCGCTGAGAGTATTCTAAATGAAGAAGCTCACCCTGATGTGCAACTTGACAATCGGCACATTATGATACGCGGAGAGAATACCTCAAAGATACTTAAAATGCGTTCCGTTATTATGCAAGCATTCCGCTCGCATTACTTTGATAGAGACTACAATGAAGTAACCCCACCCACATTAGTGCAAACACAAGTAGAGGGCGGTGCAACATTATTTAAATTACAATATTTTAGGTAAGTGCATTTGATAAATTACTTGTCAGCCTAATTCTGAGTTCATTATTCTGCAGTGAGGAGGCATATCTTACTCAAAGTTCCCAACTGTACTTAGAAACGTGCTTACCAGCATTGGGTGACGTATTTTGCATTGCACAAAGCTATCGTGCGGAACAAAGTAGAACACGACGTCATCTCGCTGAATACACCCATGTAGAAGCAGAATGCCCATTTATTAGTTTTGATGACTTACTGGATCGTCTAGAAGATTTAGTATGCGATGTGGTGGATCGCGTACTTAAATCTCCTTGGGGTTATTTAGTACATGAATTGAATCCAGATTTTAAACCACCCAAGAAGCCGTTCCGTCGAATGAACTATGCAGATGCTATTAAATGGCTTAAAGAAAATAATGTTACTAAAGATGATGGCACTTTCTATGAATTCGGAGAGGTATTTATTATTATATTTTATTTTATATTATTATTATATTTTATTTTATATTATTATTATATTTTATTTTATATTATTATTACATTTTATTTTATATTATTATTATATTTTATTTTATATTATTATTATATTTTATTTTATATTATTATTATTATATTTTATTTTAATATATTTTTATATATTATTTTACATTATTATTTATTTTATACCGTATTATATTTTGTTTTAATTTATTATTATATTTTATTTTAATTTATTGTTATATTTTATTTTATATTATAATTATATTTTATTTTCATTTATTATTGTATTTTATTTTAATTTATTATTATATTTTATTTTAATTTGTTATCCTATTTTATTTTAATTTATTATTATATTATGTTTTATTTAAATTTATTATTATATTATGTTTTATTTAAATTTATTATTATATTTTTTTTTTAATTTATTATTATATTTTATTTTATATTATTATATTTTATTTTATATTATTATATTTTATTTTATATTATTATATTTTATTTTATATTATTATATTTAATTTTAATATATTTTATTTTATTTTATTATTTTACATTATTATTTATTTTATACATTATTATACCATATTTTGTTTTAATTTATTATTATATTTTATTTTAATTTATTGTTATATTTTATCTTATATTATAATTATATTTTATTTTATATTATAAAATTTTATTTTATATTATTAAATTTTATTTTATATTATTATTTTTTATATTATATTATTATTATATTTTATTTTAATTTATTATTATTGTATTTTATTTTAATTTATTGTTATATTTAATTTCAATTTGTTATGATATTTTATTTTAATTTATTATTATATTATGTTTTATTTAAATTTATTATTATATTTTTTTTAATTTATTATTATATATTATTTTAATTTGTTATTATATTTTATTTTAATTTATTATTATATTTTATATTATATTATATATTATTATTACATTTTATATTATATTATATATTATTATTATTATATTTTATATTATATTATATATTATTATTATATTTTATTTTAATTTATTTCTATATTCATTGAATTTCCACTTAATTGATGAATTATTATTTATTAATAGGACATTCCAGAAGCGCCGGAACGCAAGATGACTGATGCCATTAATGAGCCCATAATGTTATGTCGTTTTCCAGTTAATATAAAATCGTTTTATATGTCTAAGTGTCCAGAGGATAAAAATCTTACAGAAAGTGTAGATGTCTTACTACCGAATGTGGGCGAAATAGTTGGTGGTTCTATGAGGATATACGACAACGATGAATTACTGAAAGGTTATGAACGTGAAAATATTGATCCGACTCCTTACTATTGGTATACGGATCAGCGTATCTACGGCACACAACCACATGGTGGTTATGGTTTGGGCTTAGAGCGCTTACTGTGTTGGTTACTGAACCGTTACCACATCAGAGAAGTTTGCTTATACCCACGTTTCCTTGATAGATGCAAGCCATAAAGTAATTAACTGACAAAGCAATTATTTATTATATCAAGGACTAGTTCAAGACTAAAATAATATATTAACTTTATTTGTATTTTATGTGAAATCGCTTTGACTTATTACAAAATTAAAATTTCGCCCAGCAACAATGTCTTTAAATTTAAGAAAATATTTGTTTTTATTTTTATTGTTAAAATATCTTTAATTTCTCACTCACGTTCTTGACACAATGTTAATATTTTGAAATTAGAATTGGAAAATGTTTATTTAGAAATTTTTTTGTAATATTAATTTATATGATTATCAGCCGTTTTATTTTTTTTTTGTTTGCTATTATTGGTTATGAATAAATGATTAGTAGATGGATAAATCTTGAAATAGTTGAATCTTGAAACAAAAGTAATTTTTTTTTGTTACCGTTAGAATAATGATCGAGAATTGCAATGAGAAAAATTGTGTTTTCCGACATTTATTTTGGCAATCTTGATGCAGAGTTAACATAATCAAAAGCTCTGTATTTATCATAGTAAATCTTTAAAGATAATGGGCTCCAAACAAATATGGATAATCCACGTTGTACAAAATGCAAACAACTGTAAATGAATTAAGCTAAATGAACCTCAATTCTTCACAACTAATTATGTGTGTCGAAAATCAAAACTAAAGGCGCAATATGGTAGAAATGTTCGCAGTAGAGAAAGCAACAAAGGCCACTGCTACCTTAGGCAAACTAATGGCTAACACGAGGGGACCCGTTGCGGAAAAACAGAAATTGCTGGTAGCAACAATAAATACCATCCTTCTATATGGTAGCAAAGTGTAGGCAGACACATTAAACATGGAAACACGCAGAAAAGGAATAAGAACGGTGCGTAGAAGGGTGGAAACAATATAACTCAAAAAGATGGATAGCTAAACTGATACCAAATATAATCACCTGGCTCAAACAGAAATAGGGAAACACAAATTACTATCTCACTTAGATGCTAACCGGCCATGGATACTTTTGTAAATACCTGCACCGCATGGAAAATGCGGACCTATCCGACCACATTTATGGCAATGGAGAATGTGACGACGCAGAGCCTACCTCTTCCTGGATGTGTCCTTGGCAGTAAAGGTTTATATTACCCTAGAGGTCATTAAAAAAAGTACCTATATCTTTCTTCAACTTGCCAATAACAGATGGAAAACATTCAACTCATGTGCAACTGCTAGGTTAACATGGTCCACCTGTATTAAAACTAAATCCTCGGAATTCATCAAAAGAGACCGCGTGAACACTGCAAGGCTTATTGCAGTTCTTTCTGGTCATTGGTATACAGGAACCTTCTGTATCCTTACTGTAGAAGTTGTGAAAACCCGCAAGAAAATGAACCGTAATTTTCTCTGTGAATGCTCGACCTTGGCGTTCAGAAGAAATAGGTTTTTAGGAAGATACTTCTTTGACAGTCTATCAGACTGTTCATCGGTGAAGACAAGAGATTTATGAAATTATTTAAATTTGGCGGGATGGATTTAGTTTCAACTCTTTCAGACTAGGGGTTCTTGTGAGGAATGTGGTAGCAAAACGGCGAAAAATCGCAAATTGAGGCACATGGAAGTTGTTCAATGGCCTGCTACTGCAACCAACCACTCAAGACTACGTAATAAACAGGATAACAAAGCAGTTTACGTTAAAATTATTCTTATCAAAATAAACATCTTCGTAGTCGGTGAGCAATTGAAAATCCTATCCCGAAAGATCAAAATTACGTCATATGTGTTTGCTGTTATGCCGATTATGCCATGAAGAAAGTTAGGCGTTAAAACGACATTGACGAGAACGCATTTAAAGTTTCATATAGCAGGATATGGAAATTGTTACATTTATTGCAATTCAGTGCCTGATATACAAAACACCTGTAGAAGTTGAGAAATGTCCTTTTTGCCTTATAATTTTCGCATTTTGTCTTCAACAAACATTTATGTGTTAGTGAAGAAGGTTAAGCTGACTGGCGGAGACTACTGGTCATGGCCAAGCACGACTCAATGGCCAACTAATTAAGTGAATAAGTGAAAAGTGAGAATATATAAAACAATCTTGCTTAATATTTTTATTCGTCTCAGGTTTCGTTATTTTAGGTTAGGTTAACTTATATCGGCGAACCTTAGAATCCCCTTATCTTGAACCTTTAGCAAAGCTAAAAATGCTTTCTATAGGGAGGTCTTGCATTTGTTCATGAACTTTAAAAAAAAAAGGGGGATTTAAATAGTACAACGACGACGCTCATTAGAGTTCTTTTTAACAGAAAATTGCATCTCTACATATCGTGCAATCTTCTTCCATCTTTTATAAAAAAGTTCTACGGAAAAAGAACTCAACAAATGTTTGCGTGATGTCAACGATATGCCCAGATTTGTTAGGTGTTCAGAATGCTTACCATATCTGCAGCGCACCGTGTGCCTTGCAATTGCCTAAAATATCCCTGTGACCGAAAACCCAGAGTAGTGAAATGTTAAATTGTTATCTTAAAATTGGACAAATAATATAAAAAATAATGCGGTTTTTTTTTTAAAAACAAAATAAATTTTTATTGTAATTTGGAAATAGAAATTCTTACAATAATAAATTATTACATGAAATGTTAATTATTAATAGTTTTTCAATGCATGTTTATTATGATTCACATTTCAATGATCATTATTTATATAATTATTACTATTATTTATAATTATTGTGGCCCCTAAAAGCATTAAAAAGACTTTGTTGTTGTTGTTGTTCTTGTTGGTTTACAGATATACGCATATATTTATCATATTAAATTGTTAAGATAACATTAATGTCTTGAATTTATTAAATTATTTATGCGTAATTGAGTCCTACTTTTTTTATGAAGAGTAGTAATAATTTTTTTTATTTTTTATTTGTTTTTGTTTTTTATTTTTTTTTTTTGTTTTTATTTTCATTCATTATGGATAAGTTTAAGGTATAAAAATATGAGATACGTCTAAATTACATTAAATATTCGTTATAATAATAATGATAATAATTTTATTTATATATGTAAACAATAACGTTTATTTATGTTATATAATAATAATTATTTAAAATCTTAAAAATGCAAATATATTTAATATAAATTTAATAATTGCTCTTAATATTGTTGTTGTTGCTGATGTATATATATATATATATATATATATATATATATATATATATATATATATATATATATATATATGTATGTATGTATATACATATATACATATATATTATATATATGAGTTTAAAATGTTTATTTTTGTTAAAAATATTTATTTTTAATAAAAATATTTATTTTTAATAAAAATATTTATTTTCATTAAAAATATTTTTATTATAAAGTTAATTAGCTTATTAATTTAATTAATTAATTATAATAAATTAATTTCAGTAAGTCTTAGATAATTTAATTTATGCAGGGTGTTGTGATATATAAACCAAAGGGTTAACATTAAAATATAACACACATAGGTTGAAAGAATATGTATTCTACGCTTTTCATTAGACTGAGGTGGGCTGCCATTTTATATATCTTCTTCTTTTTACTTTTCTGATTATGTCTAGTACAAAACTAAATTATTATTATTATTAAACCTAATAAGTTTACAGATCTTTTAAATAATACTTTGAGCATGAATTTCTTTTGTTATTTTAATTAACTTTATCATTATAATTATTGATTTTTAATTTGTGTTGCTTGTAGTCATTGATTTAAATTACAATTTTTAACAATTAGTCATTAACACCCTGTATATATTGCAATTGTTATATATTGCCTATGTGACTTTTTAATAATAAATATCTTTTTATTATTATTTATATAATAAAAACAAATAAAACAAGCTTATAAGATAATTAACAAGCAAATATAGAAGTTATGTATTAGAGAGAATTAGAGTTCAAAGTGTTGTACTAAATATATAACTATAATAACTGGTGATCTCATCTAATAATTTTTAAAATTAGCATAGAGAGAAAGAAAAAAAATAGAAAAATTGTTACAAAGTCACAAAAATAAATAGGAAAAAAATTTATATATAAGTTTTAAAAAAATATAAAATAAAACATAAGAAAAACTATATCCTTTTTATTGAAAACGTGCGGTTATTAACAATATTTAAGCCAGTATTTAATTTTTTTTTTAATTATAGCTCAATTATTTTTTGTTTTATATAAAAAGCCAACAACAATTTTTTTTATACTTATGTACAATACTTATTATTTACTTAAGATAAGATTTCAAAAAGCGCACTACACACCAAATTAGCTCTTAAATGTATAAAAAATTATGTTGAATTAAGTTTTTAAGTTGTAACATTTAATAATTATTATTATTATTTTATTTTTTTCGAATTTAATTTGTTGATATTTTAAATATCTGCGAAGACGTGACATTGCAACCGGACCATTTTCATGAACTAGAAAAATATTTTTTACATCATCATCATGTAAAGACTTTAATGATTATTTTTAAGTAATAAAAAAATTAAAATTCCCTAAACGAGTCGCATTTTCACATTTCACAAGTTCAACATTTTTTGCAGTTTCTCTTTTTTTTTGTATTATATCAATTTTTTTAATTTTTTAATTATTATTTTTTGTTTTTAGTTTTGAAGCAGTCTAGTGTAACGCAAATTTATTATATTAGAAATAGATTTTATTAATAAACATATAATTAATAAAAGCCTATACAAAGTAAAAATTGTGATTTTTTAGATTTTTGTTTACTCATTTTAGAATATTATTTTTAACATAATTTGAATGTATTTGTGACGACATTGATATATGCTTAGGATATACACAAATTAATTAAGTTCATCATTACATTATTTATGATTTATTTGAATTATAAAAAATAGTAACATTATTACATATGTATATATTTACATTTTAATTTTATGTAAAAATATTTAGTGATTAAAAAAAATCAGTCATAGTTTTTCATGTATATCTTCCTATATAAATATATATAATTATTAAAGACTCCAAATTACTTTATCATCTATACATAAATTTTAAATAACATTTAAATATGAATATTAGTTGTTAAGATACAATTGCATAACCTCAAAAAATTGT